AGAAATTTTGCTAGAATTAAAGAGGAAAGAAAAAACAAGATAACTATTTTCTTTCTATACACGACTTGTCAGCTTTCATATTTCTCTCTTTTTATAAAACGTGCTCTTTGCTCTCTCGTTTTCTTGGCAATGCAGTTGCGCAACAGAGATAATTATTATTACTCTACAGACTCCTTCGCGAAAGTTGTTGACATATTGAAACAGAAATATATATGAAATAAGGAACTTTTTGCGAGGAATATAAAGCAATATGAAATTTTCCCTACAAGCTTTAAAAATACAGATCTTGGAAACAAAAATCTTCTTTTTTACATAGATATATTTTTATAATTACGTTAAAAATATTTTTTCGTTAAAAATAGAACCATCGTATGTAATATTCATTTATTACTTGATTAAGCGAAATTGTATTTCTTCTTTAACTTAATGTTATTTCTCTTTTCTAACGGCTGGTAATTTAAAGATTCGATTATAATACGTCGCTTTCGAATAAACATCCGTTCGGTAAGCACGTACGAGACATTCTCTATCCTTCCGGTAGCTAGTTCGAAAGTTCTATTCCGGCAAACAACGCGGCGTTACGTTTGCCGTAGTTGTTGGAGTGAAAAACAAATATTGTCTGCTGCTTGGACTAGCACGAAGTAGCGCTGCGACGTTTCGGACGAAGGCTGCTCGTTGCTGCGGAACGAACGTGTCATTATCCTTAGTCGCTAAGCTCCATTAGAAACTAAATGCAGCGCGTTCCGGCTGGCAAACATCGGACCGCTGCGAGAAACCTGACTGATTATGGGACGCTGTAATTGTACAATCGATAGTGTTTTCTGGAAGGGAAGAGGATAAAGATGCGATGAAAGATAAACAATTCGCGTTGATGGAAACTTTAAATGATTATAACAAAAATAAAAATTAATATTAAATATTATTTCACGTTAAAAATCACCAGCCACTTTTCGATTTGTTCATTGTAGTTGATTGGATAATGTTAGTGTACAAATATTCATTTGAAGATAATAACAGTTTCAACAACAAATACCGGCGTTTGAATGCAACGCGATTACAATCGTAAATAGGAAGCATCAGCGACGTTTAATGTGAGCTTCTGCAAAGCAGCTAGTATAACTTGAGTATATCCTGAGAAACGCTTGTGGAAGTACGGTACAGAATTCACGCTCGGTCTGACCTGAATATTAATGCTCAATGCATATATCTTTATCATACAGTCTTATCCAAGAATATATCTTCAAACTTTAGTAGCAAGGACGATGCAACCACAGTTGCAAGGATGTTTCTACATATTTCAACAAATGAAAATATATTTCTTCGACGAATTTATAAATATTCACAATTTTATTAGCATCATATATATGAAATATATATTTTTATAATTTTTAAATAATAAAAATTCAAACAATATTTATTTTAATCTTTTGTATTCTTAATAAATATAAAATGGAAATTTTGTTATTCGACGTGTCATTATATATGCGTTAATCTTACATTAGACGAGTAAGTGACTTTGCTCGTTAGTTTGGAAATTAGAAGTTCAGAAATTACTAGTTCAGAACTCTGCAAGAAACGTCACTTTGAGTTGATCGACACAATGGTCAGGTGATTAATTATACGATGAAACGCACAATCATCTGAAGCTACAGACAATCGGTATTGTTGATAGGCTAAGATACATTCTGATATGCAATTAATCGATATTTCGACTAATTGATACCTGACTCGATTAATAATTCTGACAGTTCACTACGCGTCCAACAGGACATTTACAACAGGAATCAATGAATTAATTATCGTCGATCGTATTATTGACTTTAATATTTTATTCTTATGGCATCATTTTGTTTATTTCATCAACGTTCTATAAAATATTTATGTGATTTATTTTAGAAATTTATTATTGTTCGATTTAATTCAGATTTTAATCAGAGAGAAAGTGTATATTTTGATTGTTATGTACTTATATATTTACTTTGATAGATTGAGGCTAATTAAGTTCTGCAAATTCTTTTCGTTAACAAACATTAATGAAATTAAAGTTAAATTAAGTAGATATGCGAGTTCTAAAGTAGATAATGTTCTCTTAATTAAGCCTCGTCCAAAGAACATGTGCTTTCTCACCTTGAAACGAAAATTGCGCCGCGCCTGTAGATGGACGCGGAAAACGTTGTTGCAGGCTAATTTGCGGCGGTGCTAAACAAGAAGTTGTCGGGGCATCAAGAAACAGAGCTAGACAAAGGTTGAAAGAGAAGAGGGAATGGAAGCGGGAGAAGCAAACTCTAGACACACGGCGTGAACTCGCGCGAACTGCGGCCCGAGTAATTATCTTTGCAGCGGGAAATGTTATTTACTCGCACCTATTTGCTCCTTCGGACATTTGATCTTTGTTGGGAAACTTGGCCATTTAGCCTCAGCATGAACATTAAATTTTGCTATTTGTCTTGACAACCCGCGGGAGATATATGATTATGATTGTCGAAATGCCATTGCTACTTGCTTGCGTGCACAATAAGACAATAATCGATAGACAATCCAGACATAGAAAACATTTCTGAAAGGAAATGAAATTGCAGATCCCGAAATTGCACAGAAATGCGAACAGAAAGAGAGAGAGAAGAGAGAGAGAGAGAGAGAAGAGAGAGAGAGAGAGAGAGAAATTGGACACAGTTGACTGGCCTTTGTGTCGCTGACACTTTCATAACTGTTGATTCTCCCTCTATCGAAACCCTCTTTTAGGTCGGATCAAACAGAACTAGCCATAATTGTACAGCATAATTACAGATTGCTTGCGGCTTTCTCTCTTCCTCATTTGTCCCACAATCGCATGTGTTATATGCCTCCTCTTTCTCTCTCTCTTTTCATTTCGATGTTTTCTCGACTATGCATCCAATCAGCACGTGAATAAAGTTAGCTGCATCAGCACTTTTTGGATGGACCTATTCATAGTACTAGTACCTCTAATAGAGATTGCTCGAAAAAAAGGAGAATAAAAACGGAGGGGATGCTATTTTGCGCGAGGAAAACACTAGATTCGGTTACGGTAGAGGTATTTGACGGAAGTGACGAATTATAATTGAGGGATCGTATTCAAGAGGGTGATCAATTGAGACACAATGGCTGTTGAAAATGAGATCGATGGTGAAATAGCTTGAAATTATCGTCATGCAGACTACACGATTCAACTTATAAATATGTGCATACATGCAAAAATATAATTTAATTAAACATAAAAATAATAAAAGTAATATTTATATTTGTGTGGTAAAACATAACATGAGCCATAATAAAAAATATCTTTTAAAAGATATTATACATATATATATATATATATATATATATATATATATATATACATATATATAGTTTAAAACTGTGCTAAAAGAATAAAACTTTTCAGTAGATAAAGCCATATTCAATCAGACTTAGATTTTGTTGAATATTATCATTTCTATCCATTTAACTGGAAAAGAGGTAATTATTTATTGTGTCCCTTTGTTTCACGCAACGACAAAAGATATAAGAAATAATGGGAAGAAAAGAGTTTTATCCAAACAATTGAATGTTAGTGTGGCTAAAAAATAGGAGAATATAAAGTACCGTTATTTACGCCGGTTGAGTTTTATATACTTGAGAGAAGCGTCCTTAACGAAGTTGCTTTCTTTACTCTGAAATGATAGGACGGCGAAAGTTGCGAGTTGCTCTCTACTTTGAGTATGATCGTAGACCGGAAAATGCTAAGGTGTAGGAAAGTGTTCAGGAATCTCAGTTAAAGCGATGTTAAGAGCAGTTAAGAAGATAGCGCGAGCTAATAAGGCGGACGAGCGATAAGTATTATACATAAAGAGCCGAGAAGGACACACAGTTCCTGAAGCTAAGCGCCGATCGTCCACCGATGCCAGAGCGGGCACATAAAAGCCATCCTTCCGGAGCACCAAGTGGCTTTCATAACTACTGGACAAGTTCGTGGTAAAACCGGTGACAGTAGATAACGACGAGTGAATAACACGGCGGCAAAACGACGGGTTAACTTTGGCTTGTCACGTTATGAATGACTGAGCCCCGCTGACTCCCCGCCAGCTTCGGTACGCGTAATGGGGTCGCCATCCCTCCGTGATCTTCTCGCCAACAGGCGACCTCGTGAAACATTATGGGGAATTATGACCTCCGACTTATGCACCGCTGGCCGCCCCGATGGAGATACGCTAACGAGACATCGACGACATTTCCAAGCAGATGAAAATGCAAATGCCAACACCGCTGAGTCCGAGAAACTATGCGATCTCTCCTTTCTCGGCGCGATATGAATTTCATACCAATCGCGAAACGTGATGGAAATTAAAATAACTGTGTAAGACAATTATTACTTCTGTCAGGCTCTCACGTTTGATACTGTTGAAGAATAATGTTTTTGTTAGATGAAATAATAAAAATTGATGAGTAAAAACCTGGAAAACTTTATAGTTTATAAAATTTTTATATTTTATAAACTATAAAGTTGAATAGACTCATACAACTTTAAAATTTTATAAAAATATTCTTATTATATTACTTATAAATAATTAGTATGATATTGGATTAAAGTGATGCATTATTTTAAAAGCAATAATTGATATCAGGTACTCTTTAATAAACATATTTTACATATATAATATAATCTGTCGATGAATTTAAAATAGATTTCTATCTCAATCGTAAATAATATCATTGCATATTCATGTTCTATCCAAGCATAGTCACGCACTGCCACATATTTGTCTTTTTTTTTTATTGTTGTTGGTACAAAAATTTTGCGTAAAAGTTTTACGAACAAGCGCCAAATATTTTAATTTACAAAATCCGTTATAGATAAATTGCATAAATTTACAAATATTGACTTTGACATTCTCTGGGAATTTTTCACAAGAGAATTCTTTGAGATCAGAATCTGTTTCATCTCTTAATGATCGAACGTCAAAGGGACTCTTATAATGAAATGTTTTGCTATTTTGTTGCAGGCGGAATTTTATGTCGGCGGAAAAAAGCTTTTTCATCTGGACAAAGCTACTGAAAAATATGAAAACGAAAAGAGAATAAAAGTCTACGCGAAGTTCGACAAGGAGCACGAAAAAGATCGGCAAGAAGTGAAGGTAAGAAAAAAGATGGAAAATCGTGAAACGCGCGCGGACCAGCATATGTTACAAATGTAAAAAAGACTAGAGAAGAGCAAGAGCGAAGTAGAAAGGCCGTTATTCTCGCAATCGTCGTCGCTAGAAGCGATGATTGTGTCTTCATGTTATACTCGAAGGAACGGAGTAATACGTTTCAAGAAGACGGAACGTGAAGTATAGGGTGCATAAATCAGAACTCGCGCAGAAATGAAGATTCTGTCCGAGAAAAGGAATAACGATGGCGCAAGCGCAAAATTTTACGTGACGTAAAACCTATTTGTTCGACAAAAAAATGTGCACCTGAAAAACAACTACTATATATTTGTTTTAAATTTTTATTTTGCTGTTGACAGCAACGAGCCAATTAAAGCGAAAATGCGCGATCACGCTTAAGTTAATTAATTTCGTTGTTTCGTAAGTTGATTATATATGTCGTACTCGATCATGATCCAAAGTCCGCAAAAGATTAATTAAAATTATTGAACGAAAAAATCGTTCTTTCCGATGCGTTCATTTTTTTTAATTCATTCGTCAGCATACTTCTCGATTTGACTTATTTAGATTCACACAACTAATTTCGCTGTTGAATCTTTATGCCTTGACAATCCATTTGCACATCACTTCTTCGTTCCTACTAATTTTCATAATCGCTTTAATGAAATTCCTGCTTCGAGAATTCTTTTATCGAAAGGCATATAAATGTTATACGTATATAAAAGTCGCACTGCAGCGTATTCGTTTAATTTTCTTCGAGCCACCCGTCGAACGAGTCTACGCGATATGAAAATACCGACTATTACAGGCTATAAGGATAAAACGACGGTAGTATCGACAAGTTTCGTTCGATTGCGTAGATATTCAACGGCTGTGACGTATTGTTGTGCGCTCGCTCTCCGGACGAAAAAAGAAGAGAAACAAGACGAAGAAGAACGAACGCAACGAACAAAAGCGGAACGGAATAGCGAGACATGCCGGCGAAGATGATATTGAGGCGGAGAACTGATTGAACCGAGATAGAAAATGACGACTATCGAGGCCGCTAGTGAAATGAGTGCGGTACGTCGAGCAGTATGGTTTAGTGCTGTATTATTCGCAGCGACACCCTTGGCCTACACTCAAGTAACATGGACGCCGATCTATGTGGGAGGATACAGTGAGTACAGCAATCATTACTCCTTATTATTAGAAGTCAAGCACAAAAAAAGTTAGTTTGCATTTATGACCAAATTAATTAATAATTTAATTGAATTAATTTATTAATATTTTTTGGTTATATATACTTCTAGCTTTCAATATTCAAACATTTTTGCGAAAATATTTCAATTATAATTAAATTTATTTTAATTAGATTAATAAATTAATTCAACTGAGAATAATTGAATATTATAATAAATATATAAAATATATAATGTTAATATGTTTTTAAAAAATTCTCTCATCAGAGAACTAAATACGTACAGTTAATCTTTCTTCTGTACGTGTGACATATTAATATAATTTACCGCCATTTACATAATTCGTTGATTTGCAATTATCACATATCATACAAATTTTTATTACACAATGTGATAATACGATAGATTAATGTTTCGTGTCGCTTAGTTGCGAGTTGAAAATATATTAAAATAAGCGCACACATGCGTTTCTTTTTCTTTTTTCACGCAACATATTTTCATTCGTCTGACAGGAAAGTGAAAAAAGAAAGAATAGGAATAGCCGCAGTAAACGATGAAATATTGCGCAATATTATTTTTTTTTATTTCCAAATCTTTTTTAACGAAACTTTGGCAATCAGAGTTATAGCGCCAATGACAAACGCGAAAGCGTGTTCCACGATAACCGATAACCGAAGGATTGATCGCGTCAATTAACAAGCTACGACTGGCTGAAAGTTCGCAAACGAGTACAATTAATGGCGCATCAACTTTCCGCACGGCAGTCGAGAAAAGAGATATCAGACTAGAACGAATAGAAACCTATTTAAACTGATCATAACTCCAGCACACATGTTTTCAAAATATTAACAAAATAAAATATTAAACATTAATAATAATGTTTATTAAAGTAATATAAACTTAGAGATAATGATATATACATATTATTAATTAATATTAATTGGAAATTTTGTACAAAAGCAATATAAATGCATGCGGTATTTTAAAATATAATACTTAATATATTACTTCAAAGGGTTTTAAGAGATAATTTTAACACAAATGTAATTAAATCGAAACAAGTTAAACGATAGTATAAAAGGATATCCCGTCAATGCGATCGTCAATTATTTTAATTATGTTCTTCTGGAAAAATAAGTTTAGAATTTAATCTAGTGCACACGTAACGAGAAGCGTCAAACCGGGAATGATGATAAATGTATAAAATATTCGCTTAAGAGAAAAGCAATCTCACGAGTATTCAGATCTCGACAGACATTAAATTTTTATAACCCAGGACATTTATCCGTTAATGCCGTCACTCTTTCTGATGGATGTTGCAATAATCGAATTACATTTCGACCGTCACATAATTTATTATCTTTGGACGATTTTAATATATTTTATTGTTAATTACAAAAGGGAGAGTTTAAATCGATAATTATTATTATCCACAGCTATTTTACTTTGCAATTCTATAATATTTGTTTGTATTAATGAAATTGTATTATATAAATATTGCATTGATGAATAGATTGTATGAATGTCATAAACACATAATACGGATAATGCTATAATAATGTCGAGAAAAATAACAAGAGAAATATAATACATGATATTTTTATAAATAATCAGAATATATATATATATACACACATATATATAGATACAATCTTTATTTAAATTTAACTAAAAATAATTGTAATATTTGAATTATTTAATATTATATTTTATATTTATTTAAATTTTATTTAAATAAATATAAAATATAATATTTATTTATATATATGAAATATAATATAATATTTTATTTAACTACAAATAATTATAATATTATATCTGAAAAATTTTATATTATATTACAGCATTAAGCATAATGAAAATATGAAAATATTATAGAGCAAACAAAATATAAAGAGTCGACTAATTATGCTATATGCCGATAGATAATGTTTTATGTTATATAATGTTTTATCTTACATACTCTCTCGAGAGAAAACGGAAGATCTGGAATCGGTAACAATGTATCTACAACAGGATCGAATTATCGCACACAGAGAACGATATTGTAAGAGAGTTTAGCCGGAGTAGTTTTACCGAATGATCATTCGATCCACGAAGAACGGATTGAAAACCAATCACGCTTGGCTCCGTAGAAAGATATAGGGCCCCGTTATACCTGGAAATCAATCTGAAACGTGCCCGAAGTAACTCAATTTTCTCCAGTGATGTCTAAGGTTACCGTTATAGGGGCCGCATATAAACTGATATGAGAACGTCCTTGAGTTTGCAACTTTCGCGAAGTCTGATCGCAGTCTTAATCACTAGAACTTCATCGTGAGAAATTAAGCACTACCGTTCTACAACTCCGACGTATCTTACCTTGTTTGTCTTAATGAACAGGTCTTCGGAGTTGCTTCCTTGCCTTTCCGAGATTTACTCGCTAACATTTGTAACAGGAAACGTAACGACCAAGTGATATTTTCAAGAATTAAAAATTACATTCCAAGATTGGAATTATTCTCTAAAAGCGATCTATTGTTATTTGTTTCAAATATTTCGGTTAACGAAGTCCGGGAAAATGATTTACAAGGAAAAAATATGTACACGTTCGTCGGTGGACAACCACGATGATGCAAATACGATATATACTGAGCGAAATGTTACCGTATTCAAAGCTTGACATAGTAGAACACGTTCTACTATCCTAGGAACTGAGAACTTACCATCGTGCGCCATTGTGGTGCATCAATCTTCTAGATCATTACGAGTTCTCCGTTCATTTAGTAAGGTCCTTCCAGTTAGATCCTGACGCCGTCGTAAGCGATGTCGTCGCGGTAACGACTGGGCTAGACAAGTGGATCCTTTAAAGCACGATCCAGATCGTCGCGTGTAAATCCACCGGAATAATTCAAGCCGCAAACATCGTGCTCCGACGTCAGTGGATCAAGCATACGAGAAAGAGAAAGAGAGAGTTGAATCGGAGGGGAGCCAGAAGGGAGTTTTGAACGAGCGAGACGAAGTGAAGACTCTCCTTTACAGTTGGTTGTCGTCGGTAGCAGACTGTACTCTAATTAACGACGGGTAACAAGAGGTACCCGAGAGAGATGGAGAGTCATTGTAATAACTCGCGTCGCTACGAGAAGCGGAGAAGAAAATGAGAGAGGAGGGATTGCATACAAAAGAGAGCGGATAGAACGACGGCGGAATTTGCAAAAGACATGAATTCTTGAATAATATCGGTATTTCAACTGCGATATCTTAAGCTAAAATGTTGTCGATTAATTAACACCCGAATACTTTGTATACCCGTTGTTTCTTTTGGCATCTTGGAAATTTCGCAACTTCAACGAAAAGGCTGAAGTTTATTTGAATTCCACTTGAAAATCAGCGCTTCCAACGAATATTGCGCAATGCAGTACTAGAAGATTAACTGTACTAAGCAAAATTATAAGAGATGGTCTCTCGCGTCGTATTAGACAGACATAAAGAGAATAGAACCAAGAATCATGTAATTATATATCAATTTATACAAATTAACAAGAGTAACACGCAATTTATAAGTTTTCAATTTTTGCCCACATAATGGTTTCTCTCCTGTATGATGAATTTTTTCATTTAACATTATAAATGCATAGCGTGATATTTGAATAGAAAGACATGAAAGATATTTTATTGATTAGTAGCAGAACCCCACACGGCATATTTACTATTTCTTTATTTCTTGAATTTATTGCCGAGCAATGAATCATTAATAGATTTTATTCATGAATTTCGGTAGTGTATCACAAAAAAACTAATTAAATGATGCGACTTGCATATTACAACGTACATAGACAGCACAAAGACTGCATTGTGAGTCAGCATGCGTACTTAATTCACATATTACACACATACGAGCTACATGAATATACATATAACATGCTGAAACCAGTTACGCGCACCTTGTCTCATTATTCGAACTTCAAAGGGATCATACTTCTATATTGCAGCACCACCAAGAAATGATATTCCTTTCATACACCGTTATTATATTACGTTCGTTTATAACAGACTGATCTTCACAACAATAGATAATTGATGTCGTCTAAGCCAATATCGTGAATCAATAAATTATCTGATAAGACTACTTTTACGAAAACGAGAGATTTACGAGAAATAAAATGTCGGTTTGATTTAATCTCAATTGATACAATTACTTGTGATAGTGCTTGAGTTGTTCTATTCCCTCAAATTAGTCATGTTGCTTCTTAATGAAAAACAAGGGAAAAAAGAAATAGAGCTCTTTTACGCGCGCGTGCTCAAGTTGCCGAATAAAGTCAAGTTATAAGGAGGCTCGCTCGTAAAGTCACGGCGACACTCAAGTTGGATGAACGCGATTCGAATATCATGATCAGTCTCCAAAGATTCTAGACTCTCGAAAAAAGATATACAGCTCACTCTCATCATATTTTTTCTGCCTTTATTTTTTCATCTTACGTTGTTTAATCTTATCACGCAAGACGCAGACTCAAAACGCGGATCAAAACTCGGATCAAAACTCGGATATTACTCTTTCTATATATATATACTTATTGTCTCTCCGACAATTTTGCTCACGAGCCAAACTTTGATTGTCTTGCGCTTTTTATTGCGCTGCTTTATTAACTAGATTGTGGCTACGCGATGCGAATTACTTTATTTACTCCAAACGTTTTTAATACAATAATGCAATAAATTCAGTGAGCTAATCATATAGAAAAATATATGTCAGTAGCAGTAATTATAATAACAATGATTGATGATTTTATTGTCAAAATGTTTACAAAAAAATATTTTTCTAATTGCATGTGTTATTAAAATATATTTCAATATCTCAAAAATTAAAAAATTATCGGATTACAAAAGATTCGATTATTTTTAAAGTAATTAGATTTTTCGTATGCATAATTTATTCTAATCGTGACTTTTGTATGCATAATTTATTCTAATTATGATTTATTCTAATCAACATTATCAT